CCTGGTAGATATAGGCAGTCATTAATGCAGATGAAACCGAACAACTTCACGTGTTTTGATCCTTCACGACATCAAAGATTAAAAACGAGGTTTATATGGTTCAGTTTGTTGATCGAAGTCAGTCTTAAATCCGCTGTTGCGAGTTCGCAGATTTGGTACTTTAAATAATCCAGATTAGTAACACTGTCAGCCTCCTCAGAATTCATTGTTGATTTTAGGAATTAACATAGCAAACATTTTTTAAAAGTCAGTTTGCCTTAAGCCAAAGTTCACACTCGTTTGAGCACCTTTTTTGAAGGTCGCCAAAGTGTTTGCACAGACTTCCGTCTCTTCTACACACCGGCGCTTTCCCCTTTCAGAAATAAGACGACGGTAGACAAACAGCGTGACCTCGAGTCTGGCCTCCAGGGTCCCGGGGGTTGTCTGTGTGCAGGCCGGAACGCATACTTTGCGGCTTTCTTGGAGATGGCTGGCCTTACTCCAAAGAATATTCTGCTCTTTGAAATTGCTGACACAGTCAGTTCCCGGTCACATATTTTGCAAAATATTTTCCCCAATATTCACTGCCCATTAATGCGTAAACAAGTATATCATCTGCAAACTCCAGTAAAGGCTTAAGCTGAGGGGTTTGATCCATGAAGCGTTGTGTAGCAGGTAAACATTTGAGTCGCAGCTCAGCAGTTGCGGCGTTTGAATTCTGATGACTGAGTCGTCTCTATAGGTTGCAATTGATATCTCCCTACGTTCGACTAGTAGTAAAGCACTGATCAATAACATGAAGTTCAAGTCCTCTTCTTGGTCCAAGGATGGGTGCGTTTTCAAGGTTAACGTCCGCTTGTGCTGCGTCCAGCATTTAACTTATTTACCCCGCAATATCTGTGTCAGTTATTAACCAAAAGATGGCAGTATAGTGGAGGGGGTAACATTCGTTTGACCGAAATTCGTTTCCACGAAGATCACTTCTAGCAGCGGATATAGGAAAACAAACTAGTACCTATCATGAGGGCTCTTGTCTACATTGTCTTGTACATTTTTTTTCTCCAATAGAACTTCCGATGATCACGTTCTGTATGTACTCTTCCACAATGGAGTGCAAAGGGATAGCTTCCTTGAAGTTAGTATTGCAGTGCAATGCAAAAATACTGCTCATGATTATTGCTTGAACTGTTTTACTCTGGTTTGTCTAACAATAGGAACAGTCACGTTAGTCAGCTAAGATATGAACAATTATCGCAGGAGGGCAATCAATAAGGGTACGGAGATGGAGGTATTTGTGCGCGATTCTGATGCTAAATTCACCAGGGCCGCTGTGCTTCAGCGAGAAGGCGCTTTATCATGGCTTCGTTTCCTACTTTATTATTTGTCAGTTCTAAAAGTCAGATTGCATGACAGTAATTAGATAGACAGTGTGGCATAACGCCAAGTGTTATGCCAATTTTATTCCCATGAAGGCGGACCTAGGGTAGCGTTAGTAACCGATTGTTTCACCGCATTCAATCTATCTCTCCCTCTGGTGTGACGGTGTGAGCTTTCGTGATTGAACGCTAGTGTAGCTATCCGTTAATCGACGGATCATGAGTGTTTCAGCGGATCATTTAAACCTCATATGCCGACCACCGAGTAGAGCTCACGCTGTGTGATTGACTTCAACGATTTGATCAACAGCGGTTTCCCAGTTCAGTGCCTCCCACTGAATGAGCCACTGTAGTCCATGGAGTTGAATAGAGTGAGATCACGAGCAAAACTGTTTATGCGTCCTCTTGGCCCCTCCCCCCGCGATACAGCGGATGCCTTCGTTCTGTTTCTTTTTTCTTCACCTGTGTAATTTTGGATTTCTTCTTCATTGTTTTCTCTGTTATAGTTCTATGACGTCGCCTTGATGCTCGTGCTGGACGACGAGACGCGCGCCATTGTCATTATTGTCCGCGGCACTTTGTCCGGTGATGATACCCTGTGTGATCTGCTCGCGATTGGCGAGCCAGTGAGGGAGACAGACGAGAAGTTGCCCGAGGGTCAGCGCTACCTGGGCCATGGTGGTATGGTACGAGTTGCCCGAAGGGTCTGCAAAAAAATCATCAAGGAACGCTGGGTGGAGAACGCCCGAAAGCTGCGTCCAGACTACCCGGTGGTGATCTGTGGCCACAGTCTCGGTGCTGGCCTTGTTTCGCTCATGTCAGTGCTCCTCAAACCAGTCTTTCCCGAGCTCAAAGCCTATGCATTTAGTCCACCCGGAGCTCTGATGAAGTGAGTGACCGCAATTTGAACTTTTTAATTGAAAAAGTGGTATAGGTTCAACTTTGGGTGACCAAATAGCACGCGAAAACCTCACCCTTTTGTAACAGGGGACAGATGGTACTGAAGGTTAAATAACTGGGACATATCTAAAGAAAAAAATATTAAATAGAATATAAGACCGCATAATAGTAAAAAATAATAGAAATAAGTATTGAAAATAACCAAATAACCGAATATTTGTTCGCAATAATTTAAATGGCCCAATAGTGCCCCAATAGGACAAAATCGTCGACTCTCCGTCATCTCTTTAGAGATTAGGATTATATAGAAATGATGCAGATATTATATAGAGATTATATAGGGGTGACGTATAGTCGACGATTGTGT